CCCACTGGAGATTGAGCCCACAACCTGAGCATGTGCCCTGACCGGGAATGGAACTGTGACCTCCTGGTTCATAGGTAGATGCTCAACCACTGAGCCACACCAGCCGGGCTGAACATTTATTCTTCACAAAATTTTTTTTCAATTACAATTTACATTTGATATTATTTTATGTTAGTTTCAGGTATGCAGCATAGCGTTAGACCATCATATACTTTACAGAGTTGAACATTTATTCTTTTGTGGACTGGTTTTTTTCATTTCATGGCAGGCTCCCTTCACGTGGGGGATGAGATCCTAGAAATCAATGGCACAAACGTGACCAATCACTCGGTAGATCAGCTGCAGAAGGCGATGGTGAGTATTTCTATGTCATTGTCTTCATCGGTGTCACTGTGCCTCATTTTCCTGTCAAAGTATTTGTATCTTGTGGAGGAAATGATTACTGTTGGCAATCTTTATTCTGTGCAAGAAATGAGAGTTTCACTTCTCAAACAAGGCAAAGAGCACAGAGCATCTGTCTAGAGAGAACATTGGCCTGGGTGGCAAAAGGCCGTGGTCTGTAATGGCAGCTCAGAATCCCTGCCCTACTTTATTCTAGCCCTATGATTTTTTTAAAAATATATTTTATTGATTTTTTACAGAGAGGAAGGGAGAGAGACAGAGAGTCAGAAACATCGATGAGAGAGAAACATCGATCAGCTGCCTCCTGCACACTCCCCACTGGGGACGTGCCCGCAACCCAGGTACATGCCCCTAACCGGAACCGAACCGGGGACTTTTCAGTCCGCAGGCCGACGCTCTGTCCACTGAGCCAAACCAGTTTCGGCCAGCCCTATGATTTTGAGCAAGTGAATTAACTTCTCTAAGTCGTCTGTAAAACAAAGATAGTAACTCCTTCTTCTTCTTCTTCTTTTTTAAAGAATTTATTTTATTTTTATGTTTTATTTTTTTATTGATTTTTTACAGAGAGGAAGGGAAAGGGATAGAGAGTTAGAAACATCGATCAGCTGCCTCCTGCACACTCCCTACTGGGGATGTGCCCACAACCAAGGTACATGCCCTTGACCAGAACCGAACCTGGGACCTTTCAGTCCGCAGGCCAACGCTCTATCCACTGAGCCAAACCGGTTAGAGCAGTAACTCCTCTTCTTATGTCACAGATTTATTATGAAGAGCAAATGGGATATTCTAATGAAAAGTTGAGTGTGCCCTTTAGATTAGGTCAATATTTGTTGAGCACTTACTATGTGCCAGGCATTGTACTTGGTGTATGTGCTGCCTGTCCTATGGGCCCCTCCAGATTCTTCACCATCTTCCTCCACCTCTGCACACACCAGAGATCATTCCTGTAACCAAAGCATTAAAACACCCACGGGGGACTCAGACAATAGGGTGGTGAAGGCCCGGGGCGGGGGGTGGGGACAAGCTAGAAGAGGTCAATGGAGGGGAAAGGGGGCCATATGTGATAACTTTCAACAGTAAAGATTTTTTAAAAACCACCCACCCAGGGGTGGTTGGGTGTAATTGGCCACTGCAGCAGAAGCCACACCTTGGGCACTTAGGAGTGAGATGCTAGGGTACTTGCCTGGGAATGAATCAGAGAACAGCAACCCAGAAAGGAAGTGTCATTTGAAAACCAAAATGTGTTTTCTCACTTGAGACAGAGATGAGGAAACGGAACCTTGGAGAGTTCTGAAACTTGCCCACAATCACATGGCTTTTAAGAATTTGCTTTCAGCCCTGGCCGGTTTGGCTCAGTGGATAGAGCATCTGCCTGCAAACTGAAAGGTCCTGGGTTCGATTCCGGTCAAGGGCACATGCCCAGGTTGTGGGCTCGATCCCCAGTGAGGGACTTGTAGGAGGCAGCCAATCCATGATTCTCTCTCATCATGGATGTTTCTATCTCTCTCTCCCCCTCCCTTCCTCTCTGAAATCAATAAAAATATGTTAAAACAGGGTCCTCAAACGACGGCCCGCACGCCACATGCAAATACAAATATTGTATTTGTTCCCGTTTTGTTTTTTTACTTCAAAATAAGATATGTGCAGTGTGCATAGGAATTTGTTCATAGTTTTTCTTTAAACTATAGTCCGGCCCTCCAATGGTCTGAGGGACAGTGAACTGGCCCCCTGTTTAAAAAGTTTGAGGACCCCTATGTTATAAAAAAATTTGCTTTCATCAAAACTTCTTGTGTAGACTTCTGCTTCTAACCAAGATGGAGAACAGGGACCATACGTACCCTAGCTCTTTTTTTAAAAAATATATGAATCAGCTGCCTCCTGCACACCCTCT